CAAAGAGGGGTGCGTTTTGAGGATAGCATTGAGGACAAGGTGAACACTGGAACCAAATAAGGTCGCTTCCTGTGTCTGCAAGTGCCCACCTCTCTACAGGTGGAGTCCCAACAGATATCTTCATGAGATAACTTGCATCGTTTGGGAATATATCAGTTTCTACTAGCTCGCTTGTTTCAGCCATGGAAGACTGGCCCAAGCGATTAGATCTGGATAGAGAGAGCAGCACGGCGTTCTGACTCGCTCTGAGTGGGTCATGGAGGAGTTGAAGAACGGTGATAATGGCGAGTCACGATGAATGAGGTCGACGCTGAAACCTTTTGGGAGCTTATTATTTGTTGCAGAGACATTAATGGAAAAGGTTGAGAGAAAGAGGATAAGGGCGAAAGTGGGGGAAGGATGAGGAAGCATGTTTGAAGGTAAGAATAAAACTGAGCAGATTTGATAAGCAGGGAAGGAGGTTGAGCTGCTTCTTTATATAGAAAAGTTTGAGTTGCTTGTGAAGTGGTGATATCTTTCATGCTTAATTAATTACGTAGTTTTTTTTTTAATGAAGCTCGCTTAATTGTTTTCTTTTGGAACTGCTAGACTCCTTAAAAAAAATTCTTTGCAATAAAATGAGTTGTCAATATCTTGAAGAGCGCCCAGCAAACTATATCTTCGGTCTTAAATATAAAACCTAGTAGGAGGTAGGGAATTACAAGGGTCTGAGCCACATGAGAGAGTCGTATAAGTGGTAAGAATTTTTTGGATCAAAGAGCTATGCGTGAGGGGGGCACTTGGGACAAGGTTTGCATTGGAATCCTGTGTGTGAACTGCCCATCTCTCTGTAGGGGGTCCCAACAGATATGTTCATGAGGTAAGTTCCATCATTTGGGAACAGATTGGTTTCTACTGACTCACTTGTTTTAGCCATGGAGGACTGGCCAAAGCGATTCACTCGAGACATGGAGCGCAGCGCAGCGTTTTGAAATCGCTCCGAGTGGGTCATCGAGGAATTGTAGAAGGGTGACAGTGGTGAGTCACGATGAATGAGGTGGATGCTGAAACCTTTTGGGAGCTTATTATTTGTTGCAGAGACATTAATGGAAAAGGTTGATAGAAAGAGAATAAGGGCGAAAGAGAGAGAATGATGAGACAGCATGATTGAAGCTAAGAATAAAACTGAGCAAATTTGATGAGCAAGGAAGGAGGTTGAGGTGCTTCTTTATATAGAAAAGTTTAGGTGATCTTTGGGTTGCAAAGTCAGAAGTTACTATCAATGAACAATTTTTCAATTTCTTCTAGATAAAAGCAATATATTTATTGATTTAACGCTTTTCTGATCGTTTTTAAGATAAAGTCGTAAAACTAACTTGACTCGAAATTATTAATTATCGTATTCGTAATTGCCTCCAATATTCTTTACCTACCTACTTACAAAATACTTTCGGCTATATTATACAACAGGGTATTTGTAAAGTGATTATATCTTTCATGCTTAATTAATTACATAGTTTTTTTATTTTAATGAAGCTCCCTTAATTGTTTTTCTTCTGGAACTGCTAAACTCCTCAAAAAAATTTCTCTGCACTAAAATGAGTTGTCGATGTCTTAAAGAGCGCCCAGCAAACTATACCTTCCATCTCAAATATAAAGCTTAGTAAAAGGATTTATTTTGATTCTAAATATAAAACTCCAATTCTCTTTGCCTCTTAAATTTATAACATTCTTCCTAAACTCTACCTAATAATTATACATGCCAAAGGATTTTCTGTCAAGGGAGTATTACATAGTGTAAGTGCTATCTTCAGTCACTAATATAAGATCTAGATTACCAATTTATAAAAATTAAGAAAAATAGTTAATTAATATAGTTAGTTGTAAGAAAGGAATGTTGTATGATTGTTAATCATGTGTGTCATATTGGAGTCACTTAATGAAAACCTCTTAACAAGCACAATCAATATGGGGACTACCCACAAAAAGTGAATAAATGTTAGAGATAAATTAAAGTAGATTGGAGTATTATATTTAAGACCAAATTGAATTCTGATTAATTCTTATATTAAGAATCGGAAGTGGTATTAAATAAGAAGGTATTTTAGAATATAAATAATACACATTTATTACAAATAACTAGTTTAACTAAATATTGCTTAATATCTATTAATTATTAATTAGTTATATAGATCTTAAATTTACGGTTGGAGAGAGTATTTGTCATGTCATTATTTTACATTTCAAATCCTTTCACTTGCCTTGCCTGCATGGAACTTGAGTCTTGACTATTCCGACGTCGTTCCAAAGCTTAACTCATTTTCCACACTCCACATGCCAATGGCCCCATAACTCAATTTGTTGATGGCATGACTGAAAGTCTGAAAATTCCAACCTAGGCTATCGCTTTCGCTCTTAAAATTTTGTGTAAACTCAACACCAATGAAAAAGGACACATATGGACAAAATATATAAAATTTTGTGAAGAAAATTGCAGTGAGTGGTCTTCAACCAGCAGCAGGCTGCCACCTGAAAACGACAGCTTCATCCTCATTTTCGCTGTGCAACTCTACTCATAACACCTTCGTCAATCACCACAACACCCTCTTAAGCCACGGTCTGGCAAAATTGCAGGGAAGAAGCCAACGACAATTCCAGCTTTGTCGTTTTAGACCTCTTCCTCAGTTTCATGTCCGCCCCGAACCATCCCTGCACCTATAACATAAAGAAACTGTTCAAGCCTTGTTGCGTTGGGATGGGCAGGCGGTACGATTGTGGAAGCGTGGACGAAAAGATCATGGCCAAGAATTACAAAGTGTGCGACAATCCTAAGTTGGCTTTTTTCTGGGATTTGGTGCATCCAGCGCAAGCTGGTTGGCATGCCGTTTATAATAACTTGCGTTCCGCCAATGCTCTTCAACAATCTCTTCAATACTAGCTAGCCTGATCTCTTTCCCTCATACAAATCAAATTAATAACGTTGCAGGTCTGTGTTTGTTGCCCACTTCACAGACATGTCATGTGAGTGATAATGCCAGTTCATGGACAGTATCCGTTTGGACTTGGAAATAAAACCACTGGGCTTGTTTGGATTAAGGTTTGCAAAATTGAATTTAACTTTACTCTAACTCTATAGTATTTAGTCAAATAAACACTATATATAAAACATGCACTACTTATGCAACTTCTCATAGTAGTACTGTAATTGCATCTTGCAAGGTCAATAACAAGGCCAAAGCCAATTAGTGTGGATTGTAATTTATGGTTTAGTAACAAGTCAGTTTGAATACCCATTTGGTATTTGTAACCCAAAAATGTGACTTCAGGTTTAATATTTTGCCTCAAAATTAGCTTTTGAGCTTTTTTGAATTGGCTTTTGAGAATCCAAACAAATTCTAAGCAGAGTTGTGAATGGTTCCCTCCACATGAAGGAACCGGCCGGATCGTCTTGTTTTCAAAATTGTTTAGCTATGCATGAGAGTTTAGTGGAGCGCATTCGGAAGGGTGATGATAATTTATACTTGTCTGATCCTATTTATTAGGCAGAAAAAAAAATTTTCAATATTATTTATAAGTCACTCAAATGAATTTTTAGTGTGAATGTATTATTTTCTTTTTTATTTATTATAATGTAGATTTTTTGGGAAAGAATTATATATTAAATAGAGATAAAGTTAAAATATTGTTATATTTTAAAGAAAAATTAATACAATTTAAAGTTTTTTTGTCTGTGTAAAATATGTTGAAATTACCTATTTAATAGGACCATAAATTAACATTTTAAGCTGTTTTATGTCATTTTTACATTTCAAGTCATTTCACTTGAGTCTTGATTATTTGCGACGTTGTTCCAAACCTCATCTATCGTCCAACCTAGTGAAACCTAGTCAACTATTATTTGACTTAATCATTCACATAGCAAAATAAATATTCATATATAATATCACTGCAAGAATTTCTATTATACTATCTATGTTCCTTAGTATAAAAACTAGTTTAACTTTTAATTTAGCTCTAAATATAAGCTCTTGATCCAATTTGTCTCATATTTATCTATTTTTAAAAAAAATTCTTATAATAGTTGTACATATTAAAAATTACTAATTAATACACATAATTAGTAAGGATATTCTAAGAAAGATAATACATATTTATTATAAATAACCAACTTAAAAAACTTTCTTAATTTACTCAAATTAGTCAACTTGTCTTATATTAAGGACCGGAGGTAGTACATTCATGTCATTTGTTTAGTATAAAATATTTAAAGCCTAATAATTTATACATGATAAATGCACGGCAAGCTATAAACTAAAATATAAAAAAAAAAATACAACCTCTCATCCTTAATTAATATAAGATCTACTTAACTAATTTGGATAAATTAAAAAAATGACAATACTTACATCAAGTTTCTTATGTCCATTATATCAAGTTTTTTAATCACACATGATCATGTGATCATATATATTTTTTAAAATATTAGTATTTAATAGTGTTTAATTATAAGCAAAAAAGGACACATAGTCATATGTGATTGGAGAACTTGACATAATGAATATAAGGAATTTGACTTAAGTTTTTTTCTAAAGAAATTAGTTAAACAAATTATTTGTAAAAAATGGGTTTCTTTTAGTTAAATTATCGATATTACATTATAAAATGACAAGTATTACATACTCTTCGGTCTTGTCATTTAATTTAGTTACGTTTTTTAAGTCTTCTACATTCTCAAATACTAATTCATAATTACAGACGTTCTAACTTGCATACTTCAGAAAGCACGATGTACATGCGCGCGCGCACACACAGATATATACAGAGAGAGAGGGTTTCAATGCCTATGTTTCACTTGAGCTATGTCAGTCAAGTACATTATTCATCAAGCGTATAACTATATTGCTGGTACTTAGTTTGGATGAGAAGAAAATTAGAGAAAAGTTTTTATTTGTAGTATTCCCTCCCCCTCTATATTTTCCTTCTATTTATTTTTTTGTCATCCGAACAGAGTCATAGAATCTCTACTGTTTAGTACAATCGACCGGAGCAAAAGAAACTTTTTTCTGATCAAGATCATGCTCCGCCTCAAAGTCAATTTGAGCCACATTTCCATAAAAGGGCATTCCATCTGCAGGAAGCATTGCAAAGCATATAACATCGTTGGATATGGGACGGAAAAGGTTCTGAGGTTTTAAGAAAAGGTTGGCTCCTGTAAAATGAACCTCAAAATTTGGGAAATTCTGCATGGAGTTAGCATTTTTGTAACACAATTTGTACGGATAGTTCTGTTCTATGAATTGGTCGGCTCCAATGGCTTGCTTCACCAAAGCTTCAACCTGCTCATAAAAGCCTGATGGAAGCATTGTCAATGTCGTCCCAGAATCAATAATTATGTTCCCATTGCTTTGACCTGTCCGCACTGTCTGTTGTCCAACGGTGATACCTGTCAACGATCATTTTACTTAGATAATTCAGACCGCAAAATAAAGATTCATATATAATATCAATACAACGTTTAGTACAAAATATTTATAACCTAAAGTGCTGAATTCTCCCCCTTTATTATAGTATTTCAAGAATCATTTGAGCTCCCAGGTTCAAAACTTTAAAACGAAAATACGCAAGAGTAACATTAATCTCAAAGTAAAACAAATATACACCTTCGCGATTGAGATGGTACGAGGTGGGATCACCAGGATTCGTGATCATGGGAGTGGACACGACCCCATTTGCTGATATCTTGGCTTCTTCTCCAAATCTCAACTTAGTCGCAGCCTTTGTGTCGTAAGGAGGCAAACAGTAGGAAAATCTGCGACCAATCTGCTTACCAAGTTGAGAAATAAGGGACAAAGGACCATTACCCAGTCCAACAAGTCCTGCCGTGCGGCTATTGAATGTCCCAAGATTGTTATGTCCACATCCAAACACTGATTTAGGGAACGAAACAGATTGGCCATCACTACTACCAAAACCGATCAAATCTGTGGCCAAATCTCCCACCGTGAAAGATCGATCTACATATGCGTAACGGTACAAACACTGGTTTGAGTTTCCACATTGACGCTGAGGAAGAAGAGCACAGTTTCTTGAGCCGCAAGACTCAGTCTTGTAGGTGGAAGATTTTGTGGGATCAAACAATGAGACATCTTGATGGTAGCATTAAGGACAAGGTGAGCATTGGACCCAAATCAGGTCGCTTCCTGTGTCTGCAACACTCCACCTTTCTACAGGTGGGCTGCCAATGAAGATCTTCATAAGATAGCTTCCATCGTCCGGGATTATATCAGTTTGAGGTAGCTGCTCGCTTCTTTCAGCTGCAATTTTGGAAGAAGATTGGCGATAACGATTGACTCGAGCCAAGGAACGCAATGTAGCGTTTTGAACCCGCTCCCAATGGGTCATTGATGAGTTGTACAAAGGTGACAATGGCGAGTCACGATGACTGAGATCGATGCTGAAACCTTTTGGGAGCTTATTTGTTGCAGTGACATTGCACAAAGTTGAAAGATACAACAGGACAATGCCCAGAAAGAGTGAAAGGTTGTGCATGTTTGAAGAAGAATAATGGTGGAGAAACACAAAGGAGAATTGATGGGTGAAAAAGGAAATGTTGTGGTGAGTATATTTATAGACAAGTTTGCGTGATCTTTGGGTTACATATTAAGCCCTTCCTTCTACAAACTGAAACACGAAATATATAAATAATTATGCTGACTGTGATTATGAGAATATTCAAGTCAATGACAGGAACTCCTGAATGAGCGCCCGTGATTATGGAGCTCTCATTTTTATATTTTTCTGGTGTCATATCCAAATCCAAGCCTAACACTTTTCTCCAGAAATAAAGCAAGTTGGGCTGTGACGTGTTAATAATTAGTGTTGTCGTTGTGCTTTTTGCTATCGTTTTGCTCAAGATGTTTTGCAGCTTGCGTACAAAGTTATTAGATATAGGCAAGGTACTGAAAACCGGACCGGTAACTGAACCGGTCGAGATAGTGGTTCAAGGGTCAGAGGTTCAGATCGGAGTCAACCCGGAGTCAGACCGGTAATTATTAAAATATTATAATTTAATTAAAAATATTCATATTTGTTTATAAATATTTTTAATTAAATTTGAAATGTGCTTAAAATTAAATTTCCTGCAATTATTCTCTTTAATTATCAAATTTTTATTGATAAATCATATTTTATATATTTCTATCCTTTTCGATTGGTCTTTTTAGTAACCAATTGTAGTTAATTGAGCTTCTTTAGCTTATACTTTGTTTCATTATTTAAATGAATTTTCACTTTAGGATATTATTTTATTTTGGGCAGTGTTTTTTTGGAGTTTAATTAAAAACTGATGATGAAAGACAATAATTGATTATTTCTATTTTTTCAATTTATTTTTTTTTGGGCACACTAGTGTAAATAAAAGTTAGGGAGTTAAATGATAGTTTTGTCGTATTCTTTTTTTTACGTTTTTTCAACCTAACCTATTAGGTATAGGAAGATGGAGATTTCAGAAGCGAGGCGGCAAGGGCGCCGCTTTTGACCTAGGGGACTTCCAATTTCTTGTTCCAGGCATGCTCGACGGCAAAAGAAAAATTTTTCAGTTCCAGATCCATGGACATTCGTCGCCTCCTTTCTTCTTCAACCTCTACTGTCTCCCATCAATTGTAGTTAAAAAAATCTCTTCAATCACAGGTCTCTTTTCTTCTTTAGCTATCACGATTTCCGTCACTCTTCTCTTTCTTCTTCAGCCTCTCTCACCATCTGAATCTCTGATCTTTCATAGCGCCATGCTTCAAAAAAAATAACCCGGTTAACCCGCATAATCCAGCGGGTTAACCGAGTCGTTTCCGGTCCAGGCCGGTTTATGACAGGTCACGCCGGTTCAGGTGCCTGCCGGGTTTTTCTATCAACCGGACCGGACAAGTTGCTGGGTCGCCGGTTTCCGGTCTAACCCGGCCGGTCCGGTCCGGTTTTAAATACCATGGATATAGGACTAAGCGGCTTCAGATAGATAGATATAAGTATAGAGAGATAGAGAGATAAGTGAGGAAGGAGCTTAAAAGGAAAAAAAAAAAGCGTGCAAATGTAGGATTTTCTGAAATTGTTTTTCCTGTTTTCATGGGTAAGTTTAATATTTTGTGGGTAAAAAATAGTTTTTTTAATTTAAAAAATCGTAAAAAATTTAAAACGGTATCAACTTTTTTATGTATAAGATGTTAAAAGATCACTCATCTCATGTAGGGAAAAATTAAGGGGGTACGCAATAAGTTGCAGAAGACACCCTAAATCGAAGAATATGAAGTGCGAAGAAGAATGATGGGTCGTGCAAAACATTTTGTAGGGACTTGACTTGCGGTCCTTCCAATGCTTTATTTTATAGAATGATGGATCGTGTAAAACACTTTGGGAAACTTTGTATTTCTTTATTTCACATGTCTGCATCTTACACTCTTGACTATTATGAGTAGTTTCCAATGCTTGATTTCACACCACTGGTCCCACAACGCAATTTGAGGGGTGGAACTCTCTAATTAATTAGTGAGTAGAGAAAATTCTAAACTTTGCTTGCATTTCCAACTTAAAAGACAAATATTGGAAATGGGTCTCAGATGAAAGATAGGTTGGTTGAAATTAAAAATGTTCTAATTTAAAAGTAAGTTGTAAATGAAAAGTATTGAATAATTTGTAAATGATAAAAGATAAGTCGTAAATTATTGATTTAAAAATCAGTTAATATATGATGGGAAGTTGATTTATAAATTCCACAAATTAATTTAGTTATAAATTGAGTTAACACGAGAAAAATGATTTAAATTTTATACATCTCATCTGTCACGATTCACTTCAATTTAATTAATTGGTATTCACAACTGATAATCTTCCTGTGATAAAAGGAAAAAAAAAAAACTGATGATCATCTTCCAAGATTTATAATTATGCTTTGTTTTAGTAAACCATTTTGCTTGTCATTTTTTTTCTTTTCTTTTTTCTTTTGGTGGCATGTTTATCAAGTTTTTTCTTTTAAAAACATTATGCACCTTGAACCTATCATCTGGCTAATTCGAGAAATTTATTTATAATTATCTTCACTGTACGGTGCCATCTTCTGCGTTTCTTTTTTAAAATTCCAATCTATGATTCTCTGCTGCTTTATTCATTTCACTCATCTGCATCTGGACTACACACATACATATATATATAGGCTTATATCGCTAATCACACTTTTTTTCCCAATTATCCCCAATCAAACTAATCCTTGTTAATTAAGTGTCCGAAACCTATTTAATGAAATTAGAAATACTGTACAAGTTTTTAGGAGTTCTTTTTTTTTTTTTTTAACGAGTTACGGGAATACTCTTATCATTCTCTGAGTATATAAACTTTCTTCTATTATAAGAATTGGCCAAAAAAAATATCATAATATAAAATAAGTTTCAGTAGCTCAGTGAAATTTGACTGCAGCTCAACTGAGAAATCTTAACCCTACAACTTTAGAGAAAATTAATGAATGTCCACCAATCAAATGTAGTTAATTAGATAAATAGTACTAATTTAGACTCTGGAGTTACAACTAATAATGAGTTGACTCCCTAGACGATCATCTGTGATGACACAAGAAGAGCAGCAAGCGGGTATGGACAATGACGTGGCAAATGAGAAAGGCAAAGAGGGTGATTCAGCGTGCAATATTAACGGAATGCGTAAGAGTTCACGTGTTAGGCGCCTGCCGTGGAAGTTGAGGGACGCATGAGGAATATAAGTTAGTTAGAGGAAAGAGAGAGGGTGTGCATGTACTGGCTAATCGTGGTTTCTCCCTCTGGACCTTCTCTTCTCTCTGGATATCTCATTCTCTGCATTCCTTCCCTTCTGTTATACTCTGCAGTTTTCTGTTTTCTTCATTACATTTGTGGCTGTACCTTCGTATTACAGATACTGTATTGCACTATATCTTTAATAAACGTTGCTCTACATTACAGCCATTACGTTTGAGTATTACATTTGGTGCTTTCATTGACTCGGACATGGCGGACGTAACTCGTTTTAAGGATTTGCAGACAGAATTCAAATCTCTGTCAGAGTATGTAGGCCGTGTGGAAACATCAACCAATACTCGTCTGGATCAGTTACAGAGTGCTCTCGAAGCCATGGGGCGTGCTTCAACTGTGAGTTTGGAAGCCGCTATGGAATCAATGTCTCGTCACATTTCTTCCTCCATTCGTGAACTCGATCGCGGTCCTGGCTCTATTGGAGTTTCTTCCTCCAGTCAACATTACCAGAATCCATATCGTCCGATTAAGTTAGATTTCCCAAAGTTCAATGGTTCTGACCCCATGATCTGGATTTTTCGTGCAGAGCAGTATTTCTCTTATTATGAGATGCCGGACAACCAACGTGTACTGGTAGCTTCTGTCAGTTTCGAAGGCGATGTCGTTCCATAGTTCCAAA